CTGCCAGAGGAAGTGGTGGAGACTGGTACAATTACAACATTTAAAAGGCATCTGGATGGGTATATGAATAGGAAGAATTTGGAGGGATATGGGCCAAGTGCTGGCAAATGGGACTAGATTAATTTAGGATACCTGGTCGGCATGGACGAGTTGGACTGGAGTTCTGTCCTGTACATCTCAATGACCCTATAACCTGTTGAATGGCTGTGTTTGATTCATATTTCCAGCATCTGCAGTATTTTGCCTTTATTCAAATGGTTAACAGTTTCTGGTTTACAGTCTCCCACATAGTAGGCCTGCTTTCTTGAAAGTGTTTGATGCTTTTAAGTTGAAGTGCGAGTCTTACAAAGCCATGAATTCTTAGTGTGTTGTGAGGTTTCTAATTTCTAAGAGGTTGTTTCTGAGATGAACTTGAAGTTGGAGCAGGTAGAGGGGACTCCTCTGTTGGGATATCCCAATTTTAAGGTTTTGCTGTGAGCTATCTGGGCTGCTGGACGACTTGTAGCTAGTTTCTAGTCTGGCGTTCTGACTAATGAACTGCTGGTTTGATGGCTTTCTGATGGAACAGCCTGTAGAAACTGCTTCTGCTGATTTGAAAAGCAGACAGAAAACAAGGCTGTTAAATCATGCGACTTTTTACAAGTTTGAAGTCATTTTCCAAATACGGTGGAGGTGTTTTTGATGATTCCAACATTGTGTGTTACACCCGGCTGATGATTTGAACGTTTGAGATTGTCAGTGTGTCGTTTTTTTGAATGATCCATTTGATCTGATAATAATACCCTTTTGATTGGCTTCAGAGAACATCATTGATTCAAATCAGTAAGGAATGTTCCTTTCGTTACCTCCTGAGACACAGGAGTGATTTCAATCCACAAAAGAAGTCAGGTGCACTCAGGTAGCCATCTTTCCCAGCTATTTCTGTCCTATTTTAAAATATTAACATATTGACTCTAAATCCAGAACATACTGGGCCATAACAATATCTTCCCGGAAACCTCACACTAAATCGAAACTACCCATACAGAAGCAAGGTTCCCACCCTAAATGTAAATGATCTCAGGAGCTGTGTTCTCAATCACAAGAATTTTGCCGCCAGTATATAAGATAACCAAGAAATAAACAAAACACTGTGTTTAAATCTTCCACATTTTCAGTTATGTGACAAAGGACCAACATGAACAGGTACGGTTTTTTTTTCTGATCGAACTAAGGTGATGCCACAAAATACTCCCCCATGATATAGTTGCCCCTCCACTCGCTCGTGATAATTTGTTCCATCCATTAAAATGACTCGTTTGCCTGCATTAGTGTCCTTCCTGGTCATGAATGCTTGTCCCATTACTGGGCCATTTCTCAGCCTTGGGCCCCTTTTTCCTGTGGAAGCAGTGATCATTCCCTGATAATTTGGACACTGCCCAGCCCTGTCTGCCTCATCCCGAGTGGAGTGGACAC